TAGTCTACTGACTGAGGAGAGTAAAACCCTTTATAATCAAGAACCCAGAGATTGAATCTGCCTGCCACCTACCCTGAAGCAAGACTTCAAGACCTTGAACATTGGATTGATAATCTCACAATTTAGAAGAGCCCCTCCAAACTCTTGCCATTGTAAACCCATAGGAGATTTTAAGGTAAAGCTAACCAGGAAAGTTTGTCCTCAAAAGCAGATGGCCGTCTCCATGTAGACAGCTTTTTTTCACAAGATCAAAAATCAAGACATCTCGTTATCACGACACTCTTAGTTCACAGTTTGTTTATGGTTCTACAGACAACAGAAATTTTAAAAAGTGGTCTCTTGTGTGCACTCATGGGGGTATACTTACATGTAGAGAATTTTATAGTCAACATTATATATGAGGAAACTTATTCCTTGAAAGGTAAAAGAGGAAGGGCCAATGTGGGTGAGAAGTTTTAATGAAACATTTGTTTTCTCACAATACCAAAAACAGAATATTGGTCCACTGCTCTTAACCTATTTCATAAATTAAAAAGAACTTATTCAGAATAGGTTAAAGAGCATTGCCCGGAGGCCATTACTCTTCTGAATGGGTATCATTGTTTAGAGTAAATGAGGCAATGGTTACAAATTTATCCCTCTCAATAGAGCTCTATAGCAGATTATACCATAAAGGCTATGCTTACACAATAGACTTTAAATTTTCTCACAAAGTTGTGCCAAATATGATTTCTTTTGATTACTTACTGGATAAATATATATCTGTGCAGTTGCTAATAGCTGCCTATGGAGAACTACAGCAGGTATTATAGAGATGCAGTTGTAGATGATTCATGAACAGGCTGATTAGATGAAATGAGTAGACCATTTATCTAGCTAATTATTTGATCTATTTAATTTTAGTTGGTTGTTCATGGGGACCCTGGCTAAAAAGCATGCTTCAAACTCTTGGTATTATCCTCCTGATAGTCAAATTAGTAATCTTCCTACTGCACTGTATTCTCTCAAAAGATATAAACGTTTGAATATAGTCATTTGTAGAATGTCAAATGGTCTCTCTTTAACTAGAATGATAGAAACTCAAAGACATATGTGACTATGAAGACACCACAACCTATGAATGACATGCTAAGGACAAAAAACAAAAATAGTGGAAACTGAGAGTGGCACTAAAGAACCGAGTTTTGGTCACACTATGACCTATGTAAGAACTTAACCAAATAGGGGGAATTTTTTAAAGAAAACTATTGGAGGCCATAATTCTGGACTGGGCTTATGCACTAGGTCCAAACCAAACCAAAATGAGTCACTCATGTTAGATGTGACATAATTAAACTAAAAATGTAAGGCAATAGGTAGATTCTAAAACTGGCCAGGTTTTATTTTTCTTCTGTAAATAGCAGATTTCAACACAAGGAGGTCCCTGTACTCTAACACTTTAAAAAACAAATAAAAATCATTTCAAAATAATAAGCTGAAGTTTTTATTTCCACTTTACAAACCCACAGTTCTGCTATTTCACAGTCAGATTTGAGTCCAAATAAGTACATTTTTGATGGTGACAAAGTGATATTAATGTCTAAAGTTTTGGTCTCAAACTTGAGAAGACGACAAAAGAGAGAAATTGTTAAATTAGTTATAGCCTAAAGCTTCCCTCTTTTATGTTTAATTTTGGTGAACAGGATTTTTTTTTTTTTTTTTTTACATAGTAAACTTAGTGTTCAAATAGGACGAATCTTAAGCTGTAATAAATCTGGCTGTTTCTGAACCTCACTTCCATTTTCTATATGTCATTTTGCTTTTCTGGTTCATAAATCTTTTACCAACATGTGGCTGTGCTGGAGTCTCTCCGAGCCTACTCTGGATCCATAGGTTACCTGATTTGCAAATCACGATTTTTTCATTTAAACTCTGTTAAATTTAATTTTTCTAAAGTTTTCTTCTTTTACAAATTTTCAAGTTTTTTAGTACTGAAAATAAATAATGTGTTATTGAGCTTTGATTTTCTAAACTCATTCCACAGCTATTTTCTCAAATAATAATAATAATAATAATTATTATTATTATTATTTTTGAGTCAGAGTCTCACTCTACCACCCTGGCTAGAGTGTGGTATAACTAATCATGGCTCACTGAAGCCTTAATCTTCCAGGCTCAAGCAATTCTCCTGCCCCAGCCACCTGAGTAGCTGGGACTACAGGCATGCAAAATCATGCCTAATTTTTAATTTTTTTTCATGGACACTGGATCTCACTATGTTGCCCAGGCTGCTCTTGAACTCCTGAGCTCAAGTGATTCTCCTATTTCAGCTTCCCAAAGTGCTAGAATTACAGGTGTGAGCCACCATGTACTTCTGCAATTTCTTGACAAGATTATTCTCAATAATAAACAGTGCTATATGCACACAAATATAAAAGGAATCTGGCTTCTATTTTAGAAGTTTCACTCTCCAGGATTTCAAAGGCCTAGGGCAGCTACTTTAGTATTATAGTTTGATCTATGGAGGTGCACGGGCTTTGGAGTCAGAGAGTTGATCCTGAAGGCGGGGTGCGGTGGCTCACGCCTGTAATTCCAGCACTTTGGGAGGCCGAGACAGGTGAATTGCTTGAGGTCAGGTGTATGAGACCAGTCTGGCTAACATGGCAAAACCCCATCTGTGCTAAAATAAAAAATTAGCTGAGTGTGGTAGTATGCACCTGTAATTCCAGCTACTCAGGAGGCTGAGGCATGAGAATTGCTTGAACCAGGAGGCGGAGGTTGCTGTGAGCCAAGATTGTGCCACTGCACTCCAGCCTGGGCAACAGAGCAAGACTTCATCTTAAAAAAAAACAAAAACAAAACAGTTGATACTGAGTCTCAGCCCAGCCAGTTAGTAGCCGTGGTTCTTTGGACAAGTTTCTTGATGTGAAAGAGGTTGTATGAACCACATATGCAAAAAAAAGGCAGAATGACACTGATTGCAAAAATTGTAGCAAGTTTTCATGCCTCCTATATCCATTGCCAGGTGCTTTCACAGCTGTTGCCATTGAAATACAGAATTTGTTTTCCAAACCATAGATCTGGCTGACCTTACCTGCTCAGGACAGTAGAAAGCTGTGAACATGATAATGTGCTAGTTTGGGGCCTAGGCTCCAATGGTCTTGACTGCTTCTGTTTTTCTTTCAGGATGCTGCCATCTCCATGACGGCCCATGTTAGCCAGGTGGAAAATAAGGGGAGGAGAAGCAGGGTGCCCCTGTTGACAGCCCCAGAAGCAGAAGCTCACCCCCAGAAACACAGCTGCCTAGTGAAAAGACAGCTGATGGTACACGTCTGAAGGAGCTCAGTTGAGCCCAGCCTAAATGGCTGAACATCTCAATTACAAGCAAATAAGTTTTGGATGGTTTGTTATGCTGCAATAGCTAACTAATACATGTACCCTGTGCAGATGGAATGCCAGGATTCAGTGACAGGTTGATTACTAGTTACCTTCTGACAGTGGACACCCTAAAGGTACTGACTTTTTTTTTTTTTCCTCCTGATTTGAAGTTGTATGTCTTCTAAGACAATGTTGGGTAATGCAGAAATACAGGTAGACATGTATGTGTGTGATTGGTGCTTTTACTCACACAGTACCCCACACCACAGGAGAAAACAGATAATCACAGCCTGACCATTAGGGCCAAGGCCAAATAGCAAAATAAGTTTGCCTTTAATTTGTTTTCTTCATATCTAAAAGTTGGAGGTTAAGACTGTATCCAGACCTGAAAACAGAGTTTTCTTCTCCTGGGGCCCCAGAATTTTTTGTTCACTGTCTGATCTCTGGATGAAGGGTGGACCACAGGTGGCAAGCAGTGGTCTACCTCTGGTTATTTTATTCTTGCTGCCCTCTGCCCTTGCTATGGCCACTATCTGTCCCACCCTCAGAACTGAAGGTAGATGTTAGTAGAGAGAGGCTGTCCCCTCACCTCTGGCAGAAAAGGGATGTTCAGGGCCTCCACCCACCTGACATCAGAGCTGCACTTCAACGTGGTAGCTGTTGGCCATGTGTGGCTCCTGGGTGCCTGGAATGTGCCTGATCTGAACTGCAATTTGCTAGAAAAGTAAAATACAGAGTTGGTTTTGAAGATTTAGTTCCAAAAATATATATAGTGCCTTAATAATTACATATTGCTGTGAACCCAGAAAATCTGAGACAGGTCTCAGTTAATTTAGAAAGTTTATTTTGCCAAGGTTGAGAACACGCCTATGACATAGCTTCAGGAAGTCTTGAGGACACCTGCCCAAGGTGGTCAGGGAATATCTTGGTTTTATACGTTTTAGGGAGACATGAGACATCAATCAACATATGAAAGAAGTACATTGGTTTGGTCTGGAAAGGTGGGACAACTTGAAGCAAAGGCAGGAAGACATGAAGCTGGAGGGAGCTTCCAGGTCACAGATAGGTGGTTACATTCCTTTGAGTTTCTGATTAGCCTTTAGTTTCCAGCTTGAGTTTTCCTTAGTAATTTTGGGGGCCCAAGATATTTTCCTTCCACGTAGCTCACATATTAAAATGACAATATTTTAAACATATTGGGTTACATTATTACAATCAATTCCACGTGTTTCATGTTTCTTTTTAAAGTTTGGCTACTAGAAAATTAAAAATTCAAATGTGGCTCACATTTTATTTCAGAGGACTGCCTCCTTTTTAAAATGTTAGGCTGCCTGCTCAAAGGACCAGAAGCCAGGAAGGTGATAAAAGCTAAAATTTCAAAGTAATTGTTATTATATTATTTTCATCTGTGACTAGCCACATAGTATATTATTTATAAATGCATATGACCTTATACACAAGGTTCAATGCAAACACCCTCTAGGGTGGGCCTGGCTCAGCTCAGAGGAAAGCCTGCCTGAGAAAGCTGCAGCTAGGCTGTCACTCTTCATTCAGCCCAGCAACTGATCACAACTTCTGTCACTCAGGGCCTGAGGGGGTGGGTCTTAAACAGCATCCAATCAGGGATGCTGGGCGGGGGACAGTCCAATCAGGCACGCAGCTGGAGCGGACAGGACGGCTTCCGGGATATGGCGGGGCGTTTGGCTGTGACTGTCTCCAGAGCTCCAGGTCTCGTCTTCATTTCTGTGTCTTTTGTTCCTAGAGGCCCAGCCTGTGTGACCCTGTGACCTGCAGATATTGGGCGATCCAGAGCTAAGACTCCAGGACCCCCTGGCAGCCTAGAAATGGTGAGTGCCGGGTCTGACATCCCGAGAAGGGGGGGAGGGGCTGGCCGGAACCTGGGGAAGTGGCTGTGGCGGACTTAGGTCTTCACGCAGTCAGCTCCACGATCTGCGCCCGGAGTTCTCCTTGGCCAGCTCGGCCTCAGTCCCCTTCAGCCATAAGATGGCGGCTGTGCTGATAGCCGGGCGCTGGGCGTCCTGTCTCTTCCCTCCGCAGAGACTGTGCCCTGACCTGTAGCCCTGTCTGGGCAGCTCTGCACGCGCAATTCCGCAGTCTCTCCCAGATTGTGCAGGAACCACGGGAGAATCGTGACTCGGGGTGCGGGTTCATGAGCGGGAAGAGCTTTGATCTGTGGGGTTCCCAGTTCCTATTTTCTCCTATTGAAAATCTATGGGAGTGGCCGGGGGCGGTGGCTTACGCCTGTAATCCCAGCAGTTTGCTGGGAGGCGGGCGGATCACTGAGGTCCGGCATTCGAGAACAACCTGGCCAGCATGGTGAAACCCCGTCTCTACTAAAAATACAAAAATTAGCCAGGTGTGGTGGCAGGCATCTGTAATCCCAGCCATTCGGTAGGCTGAGGCACGAGAATCGCTTAAACCCAGGAGACCAAGATTGTGCCATTGCACTCCAGGCTGGTTGACACAATGAGACTATCTCTAAATAAATAAATAATAAAGGGGAGTCACCGCAAAATATTAAATAATTTAATCAACGAGTGATTCTAAAATTGTAAAGCACCCAGCTGTGGGATGTAGTTTGTGGTCCTTTGGAGGAACTTGAATGAAAGACTGTGCGTGATACAAAAACGCGAATTCAGTAATCGGTTAGGTAGAGTTACGTAGTGTCTTAATTTCCATGTTGAGCGTACAAACTTTCCTGATTATGTAATCAGAGCTTAATTCCAGTTTATAGTTTGTTAACCCTGTATTTGTTTTCCCCAATGTAGTAATTTACAAAAAAAAATTTTTTTTGAGTTAGTTTTTTTTTTTTTTTAAAGACGGAGTTTCGCTCTTCTTGCCCAAGCTGGAGTGCAGTGTCGCGATCTCAGCTCACTGCAACCTCCGCCTCTGTGTTCAAGTGATTCTCCTGTCTCAGCCTCCCGAGTAGCTGGGATTACAGGCAAGCACCACCACGCCCAGCTAATTTTGTATTTTTAGTAGAGACGGTGTTTCTCCATGTTGGTCAGGCTTGTCTCAAACTCCCGACCTCGGGTGATCCGCCCATCTTGGCCTCCCAAAGTGCTGGGATTACAGGCGTGGGCCACCGCACCCGTCTTGAGTTAGATTTTTTAAAAGTAGGAGTTCAGGGACTACGGCCACCTCAGTCGAATTGCCTAGCAGTTAACTATTTTCACTCCCTACACAAAACTGATCTTCCCCTGCGTTTTTCATAGGTGTTCTAAGCAGGGTCTCAAGTCTGCCCTCACGCCCCCTATTCCTCCAGCCTGACTCTGGTTTGCAGTAAAATACAGAATTTCCATTTCCTCCTGACAATCCCAAATGCCAACTCCCCCTCCCTAATTCACACTATTAACTATTTGTCCTTTAGTGTACGTTTTTGATACCGTATTTTAATTAAACATTTTTTGACAAAGCATTGGATGGCACATTTAAATAGATTCGTTTTCTGTTTATAAATATTTTCCATAAGAAGAAAGCAAGGAATAATTTTCTGACACTGTATTGTAAAACAATCTTTGTGTCTTTTCCTTTTATCTTCCCTTGGCGTAGAGATCTCATGAGACTGTTTTGGCATCAAGGTTTTTCTTGGAAGTTTTGTGGGGTGATGTGTCCTCAGCCACCGTTTAGTTTTTTTCCTGGTCCTGGGTTTCAGTACTGTCTGAATAAACCAAGGTCTCAGTCATGGCTATGTCTGGGAGACTGTCTAATGAATATTAACTCCTGGGTCATTCTCTCCCATAGGACAACCTGTGGTATGGAGTGTAGCCTCTTAAGGGACCAGGTGGATGCCCTGGGGCTCAGAGGAATTTCCTGGTGTGCTCTTCCTTTGAAAACCTAACCCCTTCAGATGTTTGAATTGTCTTCGCCCAGCCCAACTTTCCTTTCTTGCAGACACATTGCTAGTCAGCCAATCAGATGCTGGTATTGAGTTGAAAACAGAAATAATTTCTGTCCCTGCCCCCTAGATTCTCTACAATTTGTGAAAAAAGAGTAGTATCTCTGCCAGGCACAGTGGCTCACGCCTGTACAAACCCAGCACTTTGGGAGGCCAAGATGGGCAGATCACCTGAGGTCAGGAGTTTGAGACCAGTCTAGCCAACATGATGAAACGCTGTCTCTACTAAAAATACAAAATTAGCAGGGCGTGGTGGTGCATGCCTGTGATCCCAGCTACTCAGGAGGCTGAGGCAGGAGAATCGCTTGAACTCAGGAGGTGGAGGTTGTGGTGAGCCAAGATCGTGCCATTGCACTCCAGCCTGTGCAACAAGAGCGAAACTCCATCTCGGAAAAAAAAAAAAAAAAAAAAAGGTGGTATCTCAAAAGGCAAAAGAAACCCTGACCCCGGTGATGTGAGGCAAGAAATTGCAAAGTAAAATGCACTTGGAACACTCACTGGAACAGAGTGCAGAGTCTCCGGAGAGGGTGGCTATTGAGTACTTAAGTGAGCAAGATGGGTGGGAAAATCTGTCAAGTGATTGAACTCGACACATGAGTCGGACACATCTGTTTTCTTATCAGCACTGCCAGTCCCTGGGTTTGTCACTTTGAAAAGATTTGTTCACTTATATTGACTTCAATTTTTTAACTCTAAATTGCAATTTATTAGTAGAGCTTGAAAGGTAAGAAAATATTTACAAAGGGCATAAAAGAGGTGGGTTTCAGAAAAATCTAATCTTTTTTTTGTTGTTAAAAATTCTTATGTACCTTTTTCTTTCTTAGAGTGAGTTTAGGAATTTTCTCAGGCATATTATTTTTTTTTATGGATTTCAAACAGAATTCCAAGGCTTAGATTTTGGAATGTTAACAAGGAAAAGAATAGGGAAAATCTCGCTTCCATTTTGGCTGTAGAAAATGAATACATTTCCAGAAGAAAATGTTGTAGATAATAGGTGGGTTACATGAATTCGTGAAAACATCAGTAGTTTTTTCAGGGTAAATTTTTGACAGTGAATATCTCTGTTCTATATCCTGTTATCTTTATTTCAGAGTGTAATGATAAATGTTTTAGATGAAACCTGGTACCTCCTACAAATTGTTCCCATATGACTAATTGTTTACTACATGATTTTTTTTTTTTTCTTTTTTTTTGAAACGGAGTCTCGCTGAAGGCTGAGGTGCAATGGTGCAATCTCGGCTCACTGCAATTTCTGCCTCCTGGGTTCAAGCAATTCTCCTTCCTCAGCCTCCCAAGTAGCTGGAACTACAGGCACACACCACCATGCGCAGCTATTTTTGTGTTTTAGTAAAGACGAGGTTTCACCGTGTTGTCCAGGCTCGTCTCGAACTCCTGAGCTCTGGCAGTCTGCCCCTCCCAAAGTGCTAGGATTACAGTCATGAGCCACCGTGCCCGGCCTAGTACATGACTTCTTTTTTGAGACGGAGTTTCACACTTGTCGCCCAGGCTGGGATGCAGTGGCACAATCTCAGCTCACCGCAACCTCGGCCTCCCAGGTTCAAGTAATTCTCCGGCCTCAGCCTCCCTAGTAGCTGGGCTTACAGGCATGTGCCACCACACCCAGCTAATTTTGTATTTTTAGTAGAAACGGGGTTTCTCCATGTTGGTCGGGCTGGTCGAACTCCCGACCTCAGGTGATCTGCCCACCTCGGCCTCCCAAAGTGCTGGGATTACAGGCGTGAGCCACCACACCTGGCAACTACATGATTTTTAATGGAAATAATAAAATAATACATTTGTAAAGGAATAGATACTTTTGCTTTTCTTATTGAGGTATGAAATGTAAGCATTGTAAAATTGCCTTTTTTTTTTTTTTTTTGAGATGGAGTCTTACTCTGTCACACAGGCTGGACTGCAGCCCCCACCTCCTGGGTTCAAGCGATTCTTCTGCCTCAGCCTCCTGAGTAGCTGGGAGTACAGGCGCACGCCACCATGCCCAGCTAATTTTTGTATTTTTAGTAGAGATGGGGTTTCACCATATTGGCCAGGCTGGTCTCGAACTCCTGACCTCGTTATCTGCCCGCCTCAGCCTCCCAAAGTGCTGGGATTACAGGCGTGAGCCACCGTGCCAGGCCAAAATTGCCTTGTTTTTATATGAACATTGTTTGAATAATTTTGCTGGATTTTTCAAACACTTTTCAAAGACCAAGTGAATAACTCTGACATGGAAATTAAAGCTTGAGCCCAGCGACTCCAAGCTAAGGCTAATATTGAGCCTGCAAAAGAAGGTTTTTTAAGGTCCAGCTAGTTCTTTCTGGGGAGCCTCCCCTGCAGGTGTCCCAGCCTGCGCACCCCAGCCATGGAAGGAGCCTTTATCCTGAGAGAAGCTACAGAGCCCTGGAAAGCTGGGGCCCCACAGGCAGATGCAGTTACGATTAAGGTGGAAGGGGACTGGGAGGATCTCACTGAAGATAAAGTTGTCCTTGTTTTGAGACAGTTTTTAGACTTTGTAAAATAGAACAAAGTTAGATTTGTGTAAAAAAAGAAAATTGAATTATCAAGGAGTATTGCAACAGGAGGAAGTACCAACCATAAGAGCGTTAAGGATTGCAAAGTTTAGGCAGACAAAGGCTTTCTCTTTTTTCTTCTTTTTTTAATCTTTTTTTTTTTTTTTTGAGATGGAGTCTCACTCTTGTTGCCCAGGCAGGAGTGCAGTGGCGCGATCTTGACTCACTGCAACCTCCACCTCCCGGGCTCAAGCGATTCTCGTTACTCAGCCTCCCAAGTAGCTGGGATTATAGGCGCCCGCGACCACACCTGGCTGATATTTGTATTTTTAGTAGAGGCAGGGTTTCACCGTGTTGGCCAGGCTGGTCTCAACTCCTTACCTCAGGTGATGACAAGGGCTTTCTTTCATAGGGATGAGCA